TTAATTATCTCGAATAGGCCTATGTGTGCCTACCAGCTGGCACCGTCACTAATGCCAACATTTTTTCCCTGAGGCAGCTCTGATACCCCCCCTTCGTTGCCCTCCCTCCCCCTCCCTTCCCCTCCTCTCTCTCTATCTTTTTTTTCTTTTTTTTCCTCTTTGTTTCTGTTTCTTTCTCCCTTCCTTCTTTTCTCTCCTAGTTATTCTTCCTTACCCTATCTCTCTTCTTCTTCTCTCTTATTTCCATATTCTTAACCGCTTTCTCTCTCTCTCTCTCTCTCTCTCTCTCTCTCTCTCTCTCTCTCTCTCTCTCTCTCTCCTCTCTCTCTCTCTCTCTCTCTCTCTCTCTCTCTTCCCCCTCTCCCCAAACCATCCCAAATCTTCCCCTTTCCTCTTCCCTACGCCCCCCCCACTCTTTTTTTTTTTAGCTTTTTTCTACCTTACAACTTCTCTCGTTATCACCCCCCCCCCCACCTCTTTTCTCCCGCTTCTCGCCTAATATCTCTCTTTTATCCTTCCAACTATTCCTTCTTCTCTTCCTCCTCCTTCTCCTCCTTCTTCTTTTTCTTTTTTTTTTCTTCTTCTTCTTCTTTTAATCTTTCTTTTTCTTTTTTCTTTTTTTTTCTTCCTCTTCTTCTCCTTCTCCTCCTCCTCCACCTCTTTTCTTCGTCTTCTTCCTCCCTCCCTCCTCCCTCTTCTTCCTCTTCTTCTCCTTCTCCTTCTTCCTCTTCCTCTCCTTATTATTATTACTATTATTATTATTATTATTATTATTATTATTATTATTATTATTATTATTATTATTATTATTATTATTATTATTATTATTATTATTCTCCTTCTCCTTCTTCTTATTATTATTATCATTATTATTATTATTATTATTATTATTATTATTATTATTATTATTATTATTATTATTATTATTATTATTATTATTATTGTTATTATTATTATTATTATTATTATTATTATTATCCTTCTCCTTCTTCTTCTCCTTCTTATTATTATTATTTTATTATTATTATTATTATTATTATTATTATTATTATTATTGTTATTGTTATTATTATTATTATTATTATTATTATTATTATTATTATTATTATTATTATTATTATAATTATTATTATCCTTCTCCTTCTTCTTCTTCTTATTATTATTATTATTATTATTATTATTATCCTTCTCCTTCCCCTTCTTCTTCTTCTTCTCTTTTTTGTCTCCCGTCGAAGAGACTGACCTTTGACCTCTGATAACTCTTGTTTGGTTTCGGCAATTTCTCTTCTCTTCTTCTCTTTCCTTATTCCCTTTTCTCTTCTCTTTTCTTGTTCCCTCTTCTTTTCTTATCTTTCCTTATTCTCTCTTCTTTCCTCCTTTTACTTCTCTTCTAATTATTTTTTTTCTTTTTATCTCCTCTGTCTACACTACGTTTTTTTTTTTCTTTTCTTTTTCCTCTTTCTCTTTTTCTCAATCCACTTTTTCTTTCTTCTTATTTCTTTCGTTTATTATCATCTTACTCTTATTCTTCTTTCTACTTCTCTTTCCCTTTTCTCTTTTTTCTTTCTCCTGCTTCTTTCTCCTTCTATTCCTCTTCCTCCATTTCTCTTCATCTTATCCCTCTTCTAATTTGTCTTCCTCCTCTTTATCTTATCTTCCTATTAATTCTATCCTTCCCTTCTATCTCTCTTCCCATTTTTCTTCTCCCCCCTCCCCCTTCTCTTATCTCCTCTTCCTCTTCCTTCTCCTCTCCCCTTCCTTCGCTCTCCTCTTTCCCCCCTCCCCTCCCCCCTCCTCCCCCCTCGTTGATCTTAGCGCCGTTGCAACAGGCATCGTTGCAATCTCTGCTCGATCCTGCAAAATTCCTTTACGTGATTTCGGCGAATCTAATTTAGTTCCCGAGAATTATTTTCGTTTTCTTTATCGTTTTCTTCTTTTTCTTTTATTTTTTATTTACTTCTTCTTTTGTGATTTTTTTTTTTTTTTTTTTTTTGGGGGGGGGGAGGGATTTTTTTTCCGATAATCCATGCATATCCATGAATATTCACACTTATTCACGATCGATTTTATTCACTTTTTTCATCCCCATTCATTCACTCACGCCTATCCCATCTCACCCACATCCCTCATCCAGTCTCACTCACTCTCATCCACCTTTATCCACCCACGCTTATCCACCCTCACCCCCCCCCCCACGCAATATCCACCACGGCCCAAACCCCCCTCTCTCCCTCTCTCTTTCTCTTCCTCCCTTCCTCCTCCCTTCCTCCTTCCCTTCCTCCTTCTCCCTCCCTCCCTCCCTCCCTCCCTTCCTCCCTCCTTCTCCCTCCCTCACTCACTCCCTCCCTCCCTCCCTTCCTGCCTCCTTCTCCCTCCCTCCCTTCCTCCCTCCTTCTCCCTCCCTCACTCCCTCCCTTCCTCCCTCCTTCTCCCTCCCTCCCTCCCTCCTTCTCCCTCCCTTCCTTCCTCCTTCTCCCTCCCTCCCTCCCTCCCTCCCTACCCCCCTCCCTCCGTCCTTCCTCCCTCCCTTCCTCCCTCCTTCTCCCTCCCTT